ATTATTAAGCCATCTCATAACTAATTCCTTAATATGACTAAATAATTCATATAAATTAATTTAATTACTAATCTATCTAATAAAGTAATTCTATGTACGAGTTTTACATGCCCACTACCAATGCATTAGCCGTTTGGAAAATCACATCACCCGTGCTATTGAGAATAAGCAGGTAAACTCCACCTTTAAAAAAAAAAAAGAAAAAGAAAAAAACCATTGAAAGTGAACTATCCCTAAATTTAAAAATAAATAAATAAATAAAATGAGAAACTTAAACTGTAAATTATCTTTTGCTAGGCCTCCAATTAATAATTGCTAATTTTTCCAAATTTGAAAACCGAATATATATTAGATGGAAATTCTTGTAGTGTTTAATGAATTAATCATGGAGTGAAAATTTTGAAGTTGGAATAATTAATTATGTAATAAAAAAATTTATGGAAAAAACAACGCTAATAACATTTTGTTAAATAATTGAGAAACAAAAAGAAATGCACACTAGGGGTGAGCATGGTCCGAATTGGTTGATTTGAGGTAAAATCAGAATTAATCCGTTATCTACGGTTCCATAAAATTAGAATCAAATTAATCAATTCATTTATATCATGGAACTAATCCGAACCGAACTATTTAAACACTGTTCGGCTCAATTTGGAATTACGGGTTTTACATAATTTGTTCACAAGAAAAATCATATAACATATTTTAAAAAAATTTAACCTATCATAAATTAAAAAAATAATAATAACATGCCCACTAAACTAAAACATAACATTAAGAAAATATTCATTAATGCGTTCATGATTTTTCAAAATATAAATTGAATAAACATAATATTTACGATTGTATGTATCAGGATATATGGTATGTATATAGTTTTAAATTACATATGGCCGATTCAGTTTAATCTGAAACCGTAAACTAAAATGCTAAATCGATTCGTGGAGACCGATTCTTCAATTTTCTATGCCAAAATCGAACAACAAATTTAAAAAACGAATACAAACTTACTAGATTAGACTACGCAAATTCAAATGATGAATTTTTTGATTTCCCCACTCAACCCTAATCAACACGCCTATCAAGCGGAAAGATTAAGGAAACGACTTTAGAAAGGCCAAGAAAGATATGTGCAATTGAAGTTGACAAAGGAAATGATGTTCCATCCACAAATGACTAATGATAGCATGGTGGACGACTTGCTTTCTTCTACGAATTTTTTGATTTCCCCACTCAACCCTAATCAACACGCCTATCAAGCGGAAAGATTAAGGAAACGACTTTAGAAAGGCCAAGAAAGACATGCAATTGAAGTTGACAAAGGAAATGATGTTCCATCCACAAATGACTAATGATAGCATGGTGGACGACTTGCTTTCTTCAACGATGCCGTATTTAGGATTAAAAATGAATCGAGTTGTTCATGAACAAACTCAGCTCGGCTCGGTGCGTTAAGGGTTCGGCTGTTTAGTAAACGAGCCGAGCTCGAACTCGCATAAGCTCGGCTCGTTTATCTTTATTTAAATTATATAATAAATATTTATTTATATATTAAATATATATATATATATATATAAATTCATTTTTATATATTAAATAATAGAAATAATATAAATAATATTAAAAAAAATTTATCGAGCCAAGCCAAGCCAAGCCGAGCTTGAGTTTCATTAATATTAATGAGTCGAGCCAAGCTCGAGCTCAATAAACAAGCTCGCAGGCCCGGTCCTGAGATTTTCAGGGCCCAAAGCCAATAATTAACTAATAAATTTATGGGGTCCTTCACATTTTTTTTTTCATTGAATGAAAAAAAAAAAAAAAGTAAATGACAAACGATTTGTGTCAAAATCATAAAAAATACTTAACATTATATTACAACAACTAATAAGTATCGCTTGATCATCGCTCTTCTTGCATTTTTAAAAGTAAATAAATCAATAATACTTGCATAATTTAGTTTTTTTTTTGCAAAATTATTTTCAATAGATAACAATGCTAATTATTTTAAATGGGTCTTTCAATATTTTAATGGATCAATTTATTTTAAGTTAATTTTGGCCTTCCTTAATTTCTTTTGGACTTAAAATATACTTAATATATTACACTAAACTATAATAGGAGATGCCTCTTTTTTGGGTCTATTTTCAATGGATAACAATGCTAATTTTTTTGAATGAGTCTTTTAATTTTTTAATGGGTTAATTTATTTTAAGTTAGTTTTAGCCTTCTTTAATTTTTTTTTTGACTTAAAATATACCTAATATATTACACTAAACTATAATAGGAGGGGGCCCCTTTTTTGAGTCTATTTTGAGGGGCCTTAGGCCATAGCCTTGTGGGCCTATGCCCAGGGCCGACCCTGCAAGCTTGATAAGTAAACGAGTCGAGCTCGAGCTCAGTAAAACTCAGCTCGGCTCGGTTCGTTTGCAGTCCTAGCCATATTAAAATGGGTATACAAAGTAGGGGAATATGTCTGCTTATTAATTTTTGAAGAAACATAAAATCAAAAAAAATTAAATTTTAACTTGGGTAACAAATTAAATCATGACATTCTTATTATTTTTTAATTGATCATTTTTTTTCTCCTTCAATAGTATTAATTATCATCCCTCCTCTTCCCCAACGTATTGCCACCGTTCCATCCTTTTTTTCCCTATCTAATGCTGCTACTCCTCTTCCAGCACCATCACCACCAACTAATACCGACAAAAAATAATTAAATTGTCTAAATTATTCTTACTCTGCTAGCTATAACTAATTATTGTTAGAATTGATATTATTTTAAAAGTAAAAATGGTTTAAATCGAAACAATTAAAAGTTCAAATTTGATTTGCCATCATGATCAAACCTTGGAGTAGTTCCTTTTTGTAATTTTTCCTAAATTTTTAATCCCATTGTGGGATAAGAAATGAAAATTAAATGTGGAAAAAATTTTGGACTATATATTTTTTTAGTTTTATTATTTGTTTAACTTGGTATTAAATTTTGGATTACTTTAATATTGGTATGGCAAATTAAAAAAGAGAAGTGGGGATTTTCAGTATTAGGAGTATTATGCTTTTCTAGATTATTTTTTTTTACCTCTACTCAATAATCAAAAATAATTATTCTATGATCTGACCCAACAACAGTACTACTGACCAGAACACACGCAATTATTAATTTCCTTTTTTTTTAAAGACTTTTCTCTTTTGGAATTTTAAACAATCAAAGTAAACCCATTTTGTGCACGAAATGGAAAAGTAATTTTTAAATATTATGGTATTTGTCCTTCTTAGTGCACTTAATTAATCTAAACTACATATCATCTTTACAATTTTATATGTATCAAGTAATTACAATAGCAAAATCTTCACATCTCAAATTATCGGTCACATTCTCATACCAGGAAATATTGAATGCGATCATCATTTATTTTTCAAATGAGTGTCCACATGACTTAAAACTTTTGATATTATTCAAGATTTTTGGTAATCTCTGAGGTTCATCATATCCAACTCTGCAATTGCAACCATAGTTATGACAGATACACAGCCCAAATAACTATTATTACCACTGGATGGAGTGTTAGTCCATGTAAAAGAAGCTCAACGTGCATTTTCTGCTAAAAAGAACAGGAAGATCCAAATTGATTAATAATACACAACTTTGGAAGATCCAAATTGCGTCCTATTGCAATTTTCATGGCATAATAGGTAAAACAACAATTACATATCTTCATAACAAGAAACACTTATTGGTATCAATCGAAAAGTTTTACAAATTACAAAAGATAATAGCGCGCACATGGACGAAAACTATTAGGTTTATATTCTTAGCAATCCCGTTTGACAAAACTCCTTTCAGTTGTAATTTTATTCGATCTTTTATTTCAGTAAGGCTATGAGTTTTAGATTTGAATCCAACCCGAATTGTGTCTATGCAGAGCAGTTTGTGATCTTCATTTTATCATGTTTTCCACTTCGTTGAGTATGTCGGGGATCGAGCTGCACGGTCAGCTCACGGGGGTCCAGGGGGCGGTGCCATGGCAGGGTCGAGGGGCTGCACCCCCGAAGCAAAATGCAAAATTACATTTAAAGTTTGTTTTCCGCTCGAGCGGAGAATGCGACCTTTCATAAGTTTCACTCGCTTGCAAAAGTATTGAGAGTTGTATTCCTGCGCTCGAGCAGCCATTCCTGTGCTCGAGTGGCCATTCTTGTGCTCGAGCGGAGATTCGCGGATCTGTTTTCTATAAAAAGTGTGGTTCAGTCAGATTTTAGGATACGACTTCCAAATCTTCTTTTTGAGAATTAGGGTTTTCTTCTAGAGATTCTTTGCTAGTTTCCTTTGATATCTGTGAGAGTTTAATAATGAATTGAGTGGATTATATCAAAGGGTTTGTTTACTTTGTTTAATACAAAAAAGAGAGTTGTTTTTCGGTGGATTTTGTGGAACTTGAGCCTGAAGTTTTGGTAGATTCCAAAGTGGTTCATTGTCGTGGATTCGACATCAGCGTTGTGGATTCAACGTTAGGCAAGAAAATTCCAAGGTGAAGACGGGGTTGGAAGAGGCACATAGGGGTCGGTTCGATTCGGGTCTGGATTCACTAGATAATTGAGAGTACACTTGTGTAATTCCTTTATGTCTTCTTAGTGGATTATTTTGTGGCTTTTTCCCATGGTTTTTTTTATCACAATTGGAGGCGCTTCAATTATGGTTTTTCCACATAAAATCGTTGTGTTGATTTGTCTTCGATTGTTTGATTGGGATTGCTATTTACTGGTTTAAATTGATACATAATCACAAATCAATATCTAGGGGATTTCTAGATTTTTCATAAACTATAGATTACAGGCTGCTTATTGAGTTAATTTCTTCTTCCTTTTCTTTTCTCCATCCTCTGAGCTTGCTTCCCCCTTCCAAAGGTCTTGACAAACCATTTATTATACCTCGTGGTTAGAATGTGTCCACTAACCAGCCCAACTATTAGCCCACTTCCATATCCCAAGAATATGACAATCTAGTCAACACTGCTTGGAAACTTTGAATCATCGCCTCGAAAGCTCAATGGTGGTGGTGTTGAGGCCTCTAAATTTCCACATAACTTAGACAAAGGCTTACCACACAATTCGAAATTCCCAAGAGATGAGTTGTTTTCAAATGTATCAAATTGTTTCCCTTGAGGTATAGGGCCTGTGAGATAATTATGAGAAACATTCAGGAATTCAAGGAAACTGAGTTGGGACAGCTGTGGAGGGATCTCTCCTGAGAGCAGGTTTCTAGAAAGATCCAATGATTCTAGCTCTGTTAGATTTGCCAATGATGATGGGATTTTTCCAATGAGACTGTTGTTGGAAATACTTAGCACCTTAAGCCTACAAAGACTTCCAAGAGCTTTCTGAATTTGCCCTTTGATAGATCAACAACTACAATGCCATTTTAGATCTTCTCGTATAAGATCAGTATGCCTTTGCTAGTTATTGTTATTGAATACATAATAGTCATTTGAGATGGAAAATATATGAATGTCACATCTAGTTGTAGACTTCACCAACTAAATTCTAAGAATTATCTAACAGAGCTGCATATATGTTAACTTTTCTGCCTTTTTCGTTTTCATTGCATTCCAATTTTGGCATTATTTTGATGGCAAGTTACCTGAGAAACCATTGTGAAAGAGGTCAATGATGCACCAGTTTGGAAACTTTAGATTGGCTTTAAGATTCTCAATGGCACCATGGAATCTGTTAAATTGCAAAACAAGAACTTGTAACTTAGGAAGATCTCCCAACCAAAAGGGAAAAGTATTCTCAAACTCATTGTTTCCAAAAACAAGAATCTCAAGCCTTATATAATTTTCCAATGATCTTGGTACTTGCCCATATAATTTATTTTGACTTCATTGTCAAACTGAACCCTGTACTGAATGTCTGAGGAATAAACCCAAGAAAATCATTGCAGCTTAGATTGAGCGCCATCAGAGAATCAATAGAACTTGTCAAACGTTGAGGAATTGTGCCACTTAAGTTATTCTCAGACAAGTCTAAAATATAAAGAGAACTATTAGGTCATGTTTGATTCACAAAATTAATAGTGAAGTATTAATAATCTTATTGGGCATGTTTGATTGGAATGATTAAAGCATGGGATTAGGATTATTAATCCGTGGACCCAATCATCCTATGTTTGTTTTGACATTTTGGTTTAGGACTATTAATCCAATGAATAATTAATCCAACAAATTTGTAAGATTATTAGTAATGGGGTAGGGGTGGGATAGTTAATACCACACTAATTTGATAGGATTATTAATACCTCACTATTAGTATTGTGAATCAAATATGGCCTTAAATTAGTGTAGTATTCACTATCCAATTGGATTAATATCCATTGGATTAATAATCTCACCCCTACCCCATTACTAATAATCCTACAAATTTGTTGGATTAATTCTCCATTGGATTAATAATCCTAAACCAAAATGTTAAAACAAATATAAGATAATTGGACCCACAGATTAATAATCCCAATCGCATGCTCTAATCTACCCAATCAAACATGCCCCTAAGAAAATTGATTGTGGAATTTATCCTGTTAGTAAATTGGCAATGGCCCTATAAATAACGGGAGACACTGTCGGAACTGGGAGTGCTCGTTGTAGCCTGTTAAAACTAAGGTCTATAATTTTTAATGAATTCCATGAATGTTTGAGGAACAAAGCCTGAGGAATAGTGCCATGAAAATTGTTGCCTCTCATATTGAACACCCTCAGAGAATTACAAAAACTGGCCAAACTTTGAGAAATTGTGCCATTTCCCTCTTAAGTTATTATCTGTAATGTACCAAAATATTTTTTTTAAATAGTCAGTGCATAAATTAATTGAGTAATATTTAGATTGGAGTGTTGTGTAAAGTTATGTGCGAAAATGGTTTAATTTTGTAATAATTTTTTTTAAAAAAAAAATATATAATTTTCGATCTTAGAAATTATAAAATTTTTATTTTGTTGTTTTTATAAGAGTCTAGCATGTTGGACAAAAATTTCAGAAATTAATTGATGAGTATTTATTTTATAAAATAATTTGCGGACTGATTGGTGTTCAATTTAATTTATAACGAAATTTGAAATTGAGTTATGGATGTTTAGACCATGATTTGAGATAAATTTGTTGCGTCTATTTTGGTACATAATTGGACCATGTTTGGCTTATGGATGGGACCCATGACTTTGGTTTAATTTAAATTGAGTTTGTTTAATGACTCATGTTTAACTGTTTGGTTGTTTGGTCTTTTTTAATTAGGTGATTGGTAGTAACCACATTGGAAGTTGTTATTATTTATTATATATGATTATAATAAATATTTGATAGTTAATTTTATAGTGTGTACCCTATGGTGAAAAATTATATATTTTTATAGTGAGTAAAATGGGTGTATATTTCGTAGTGAGCAAAATATTATATTTTGTGATGTACAAAAATATTATATTTTATGGTGAGAAAAATTATATCATTTTATAATTTATATTATAAAATTTTGAGATATTATTACAAAAAATTATATTTTTTTTGAAAAAACCAAGTTTGGGAGA